CCTTTCCAAGAAAGAGACCCGGACTGCCCTCTTTGTCAGAAAGGGCCTCCTCCTTGGGTGGACCTTGGAGGTCATCTAGACCAACCCACCAGCCCAAGCAGCAGAAACCCCGCACCGTTCCTGACAGTCCAGCCTCAAGGGATGAAGCTCCCTTTCCAAGAAAGAGACCCGGACTGCCCTCTTTGTCAGAAAGGGCCTCCTCCTTAGGGTGGACCTCGGAGGTCATCTAGACCAACCCACCAGCCCAAGCAGGAGAGACCCTGCACCGTTCCTGACAGTCCAGCCTCAAGGGATGAAGCTCCCTTTCCAAGAAAGAGACCCGGACTGCCCTCTTTGTCAGAAAGGGCCTCCTCCTTGGGTGGACCTTGGAGGTCATCTAGACCAACCCACAAGACCAAGCCGGAGAGACCCCACACCGTTCCTGACAGTCCAGCCTCAAGGGATGAAGCTCCCTTTCCAAGAAAGAGATCGGACTGCCCTCTTTGTCAGCAAGGGCCGCCTCCTTAGGGTGGTGGTGGTGGGTCGACTAGATGACCTCCAAGGTCCCTCCCAAGCCCGGTTATCTGTTTAAGTGGCCTTGGCGGGTGGGTGCAATGAAGTCCCCACACCCCAAGCACCGGGACTCCAGCTCCCATCCCCCGCGGCCCTTTAAAGCCGAGCGAGCCAAGGCGGCGGCGGCGGCGGCGTCGTTTCGCCTCACCCGGCGGCCGCTCGGGGCCCGCCCCGCCTGTGTAAGCCGAAGCGGGCCGGATAAACCAACCGGCCTCGCCTTTTTTTTTTCAAGCCGGATCCGCTTCCCCGCCGTAGGCTTTGGCGCGGGGCCCAAGCGGGGCCTTTCCGAGCTCTTTCCGAGCGGCGGCTTCCCGTTTCCAGCCGCGCTTCGTCGTCGTCGTCCCCGCCCGCCCGCCCAGGAAGGAAGCGCCGCTGTCGTTGGTTCGTTCGTCGGGACGGGCCCAGGCCGCAGCCTCCTCCCGCTCCCGCGATGCCCCTAGACGGCTAGAACCGCCCGGGCGAAGACGACGGGGCGGTCCGGATGCTGAGCAACCGCTCCCTTCGCTCCCTCCGGCTGCCCGGCGAAGGCGAGGCCGAGGCGGCGGGGGTGAGGCTCCGGGCCGTCCGCAGCCGCAGCCCCGAGGTCCGGGAGGAACCGCCGCCGGTGCCGGTGCCGGTGAGGAGGGTCTTTCCCTTCCCCTCAAGGCGGGCGAGGAGGCGCCGCGGCTTGGGCGTCCCCGGAGCTGCTGGAATGCGGCCCGGCCTGTTTGGGGAAGTGGCGGCGCGGGGCGGCGGCTGAGGAGGAGGCTGAGGCGCGCAGCAGGTTGGCGAGGCCCGGCGGCGGCGTCGGGGCGAGGGAGGGCCGGCGGCTCTCCCCCTTCCCCACATGAAGGGCCTCCTCCGCCTGGGGGGCTGCCTGGAGCCGGGCGCCGAGGGGCCGCCGCCGCCGCCGCCGCTCTCCCGCACGCGCTGGTACTGCCGGCCCGCCAAGGTGGGTCGAGGCTGAGGGGAGCCCGGCAAGGCCGGGGCCGGGCGGGCGGGCCTCCAAGGCGGCTGAGGGACCGTCTTCTTCCCCTCACAGGCCCCGCCGACGTCGTGGGAGGAGGCGGAGGAAGGCGCCGTCTACACGGTCAGCGCGCGGGGCGCCGGCGGTGAGGTAAATGAGGCGGCCGGCCCCGTCGAGGATGAACAGGGGGCGGTGGGTGGGCCTCAGGCCGCGGCTTTTTCCCGCCTTTTTCCTCTCCTTGCAGGTCGAGGGAGCCGCCGCCGCCGCCGCCGCATCCTCCTCCTCGCAGTCCCGGGCGCTGAAGGCCGGCTCGCTGCCCCGCCTGGTGCGGCACCTGCTGGACGCTCCGGCTCTCGGCGACGCGGGCTACAGGCCGGCCTTCCTGGCCACCTATCGCGGCTTCGCCCGGCCGGCCGTCGTGCTGGGGTTGCTCCTGGAGAGGTGGGCGGGGAAGGCCTGGCCTGGGGGTGGGGTGGGGTGGGTGGGGGGGGAGGTGGACTTCAACTCCCAGAATCCTCCAGCCAGCAAATATGGCTGCTTTAAGACCGGCGGACTTCAACTCCCAGAATCCTCTAGCTAGCAAATGTGGCTGCTTTAAGACTGGCAGACTTCAACTCCCAGAATCCTCCAGCCAGCAAATATGGCTCCTTTAAGACCAGTGGACTTCAACGCCCAGAATCCTCCAGCCAGCAAACGTGGCTGCTTTAAGACCGGTGGACTTCAACTCCCAGAATCCTCCAGCCAGCAAACATGGCCGCTTTAAGACCGGCAGACTTCAACTCCCAGAATCCTCCAGCCAGCAAACATGGCTGCTTTAAGATAGGTGGACTTCAACCTCCAGAAATTTCCAGCCAGCAAACATAGCCGCTTTAAGACCGGTGGACTTCAACTCCCAGAATCCTCCAGCCAGCAAACGTGGCTGCTTTAAGACTGGTGGACTTCAACTCCCAGAATCCTCCAGCCAGCAAACTTGGGCCTATTTAAGACTGGCGGACTTCAACTCCCAGAATCCACCAGCCAGCAAACATGGCCGCTTTCAGACTGGTGGATTTCAACTCCCAAAATCCTCCAGCCAGCAAACTTGGGCCTATTTAAGACCGGCGGACTTCAACTCCCAGAATCCTCCAGTCAGCAAACCTGGCCGCTTTAAGCCTGGCGGACTTCAACTCCCAGAATTCTCCAGCCAGCAAAGCCAACTCCCACAATTCTCCAGCCTGGAATTCTGGGAGTTGAAGTCCGCCAGTCTTAAAGCGGCCAAGTTTGGAGACCTCTGCCCCAGGGGCTGCCTGCAGGGAGTGGGCCTTAAAGAGCCAGGCTGGGCGGCCCTGCACCTCCCTTGGGGCCCCGCCTTTCTCCGCCCGACCCACCTCGCAGGGCTGCTGGGAAGCTAAGACTGGACCACTTTTTCTTCTGTGGTGGGGGGGGGGGAAAGAGTCATCCTTCTGGCTTTTCAAGCTGCTCCCTTTCTCCCCCCCCCCTTCTTCCCCAAGGCTCCAGGCAGTGACCGGCTCCAATGCTCGCAACCCCCCAAAGACGGAGGACCTGCAGCGGTGAGTCTGCCCCTCCTCCCTCCCTCCCTCCCTCCCCACTGCCCTCCCCCCCCCTTGCTGGTGACATGGGACCTTCTCCTCCCTTGGTGGACGATGGGCTGTATCCTGTCATGCTCAGAGACCCCTCAGCCACATCCGTGCATCCCTCCCCCCGTCCCTGCAGCTGGCCAGCCTTGGGGTTGCTGGTCTCCACCCTGGGTGGGGCACCTGGCCTGAGCGGGGGGGGGGGGGAGAGGAGGGGAGGGAAGACAGCCTGCCCCCCCCGCCCCCTCCCTTTCCTTGCAGCTACTCAAACTTAGCAGGATCCGATGGGCCTTCAAACTGGTCTGGACCAAGGCAGCAGAGAGGGCTGTTTGTCGGAGGGCTCTGCAGAACCTCCAGCACCAGCAGCAGTCCATCTCCAAATACCAGGGCCCTGCTGGTTGGCCAGCGAGCTCATCCCTCGTGGGGGAGGAGGAGCTTCTGGGCTGGGAGAGTTTGCGCCATTGCTCCTGGCTGGGGCAGATGGGAGAGAGGGGGGGGGGTGTTTCCCGCCCAGTTGGGGCCCTTCAAATATTTTCCCCCCCCCCCCCCCCCGTTTGGTGGGCGCGGCACCGGCGCAGAGGCCTTTCGACGCCCCTGCTGCCCGTCTGCACCCTCCCTGTCGCTTCAGCAGCTGCCTTGCGCGGCAATCGGCTAGACCACGCAACGCAGCTGCGCTCCAAAAGCAGGGAATCGAGGTGAGTATAAAAGCCCAGGTGCTCCCAACAGCAGACAACCGGTTCGATCTCTGCTTCTTGTCGGCGCTACCGGCTCGGCCGAACCAGGCCAAACCGGTCGAATAGCACACACACACACACACACACACACACACCGGTCCAGCCCTGATGGCATCTCCGTCTTCTCCCCCCCAACCCTGCCCTGCAGAGCCCTGGCCTCGCTCCTCTGCTCCTGGCTGGACGGCTACCCCCAGGACTTCCTGGGGCTGGAGCCCCACCTGCGCGAACAGCTGGTCAGCTGGCTGCACTGGGCCTGCGGAAGCAGCCCGGGGCTTGAGAAGAGCCTGCCGGACGCCCCCAGCAGCCGAGGCCCGCCGGCGGTTGAGCACGGACAAGAGGACAGTCCCGGCCAAGACGGAGACCCCGATCCCCACTACATCCTGGGGCTGCAGGCGGAGGAGGTGGCCGCCCACCTCACGGCGCAGGACGGGGTGAGTGCGGAGGGCCGGGCCGGGACCTGCCCCCTCCCCTCCCAGCTGTGGCGTCTTCTTTCCCTGCTCCCCTGGCCACGGAGTTGGGGGGACGGTTTTGGGGAGCTTCCTGCCAAATGGGAAATGCCTTATATGGGGTTTGCACCCCGGCTTGGAGGGCTGAGCTGCCCCCCTTTTTATTTTTTCCTGCGTGGAATAAATACCAGAAAGTGATATATTTTTTTTTCCTGCAGTGCACCAATATTTTCCTGCAGTGCGCCACCTGGAGGTTGTGCGCCGCCATTGCAGGCTCCTCAGAGGCTGCCTGTCGGCTTGGCGGGTTTTTTTAATTTTATTTATTTACTTTTGTCAATTGCTTGCAAGAGAATAGGTATATAAGTAAAAAACGTAGTTATGAATCCATGGATGCATATAAGAAAAATAAAAGAAACAATAGGACAGGGTCGGTATAAGTATAAACATAGTTATGAATACATGGATATATATAAGAAAAATAAAAGAAACAATATGACAGGGTCGGTATAAGTATAAACATAGTTATGAATACATGGATATATATAAGAAAAATAAAAAGAAACAATAGGACAGGGACGGTAGGCACATTGGTGCGCTTATGCACACCCCCTACCGACCTCTTAGGAAAGGGGTGAGGTCAATAGTAGACAGTCTAAGGTTAAAGTTTTTGGGGTTTGGGGAAGAAACCTCAGAGTCAGGTAGAGGATTCCAGACATTGACCACTTTGTGGCTGAAGTTGTATTTCCCGCAATCAAGTTTGGTGCGGTTAACCCTGAGTTTGTATCTATTGTGTGCTCTTGTGTTGTTATGGTTGAAGCTGAAGCATTCATTGACAGGTAGGACATTGCAATGTAGGATTTTATATACTATACTTCGATCGGACCGAAGACGGAGTAATTCAAGGTTTGTTAGGTCTAGAATTTCGAGTCTGGTGGCATAAGGTCTTCTACAACGAGTAGAGGAATAGAGAACTCTTCTTGTAAAATATTTCTGGACTTTCTCAACTGTGCTAATATCAGATACGTAATGTGGGTTCCAGACCGATGAGCTGTATTCGAGTATTGGTCTAGAAAATGTTTTGTATGCTCTAGTTAGTCGTGTGATATTACCAGAGAAAAAGCTACGTAGGATTAGGTTAACAACTCTTAATGCCTTTTGGGCTATGTAGTTACAGTGGGCTCTAGCACTTAGATCATTTGAGATGAGTACTCCAAGGTCCTCGAGAGAGCTTGGATCATCAACAAGGTCTTGACTATTCAGCTTGTATTTTATTTTCTGATATATTTTTTTTGCCAATATGTAAGAGAACATTTATTTGTTGAGATTTGAAGTTGCCATTTGATTGACCATTCTGACATATAGTCAAGATCTTTTTGAAGGGTAGCAGTATTGTCTGCGGTGTTTTCATCATCAGCGAAGAGAACGCAGTTGCTCTTGATGTGATCACAGAGGTCATATATGTAGAGTATGAAATTTTTAATAGTAGTTAGTAGCACTTACGCTTTTATACCGCTTCATGGTGCTTTACAGCCCCCCTTTTTAAAAATAAATAAAAAAAATTATTTATTCAACATTTTAACATTTAAAAACAAATTTCCGCACTTTACAACGTTACTATAGTAGCGTTTACATTGTAAATATCTTCTATTAACATGTATTTGATTCTTCAATGTTACTATAGTAGCGTTTACATTGTAAATATCTTCTATTAACATGAATTTGATTCTTCAACGTTACTATATTAGCATTTACTTTGTAAATATCTTCTATTAACATGTATTTGATTCGTCATCATTCTAGGCATTTTATACATATATACATTTTTATTTACATTTATTTACACGAAAACCTTACTGTTTTATAGTTTTATAGTATTGCGTAGATCATTTGACGCCTTTGCGCCTCATTCTTATCCATTCGTACCAGACATCCCATATTTTGTGATATTCTCCTCCTCCTTTGTCCTTCGATAATTTGTTAATCTATCCATCTCTGCTCATTGAGGTATCTTATTAATAATTGTGCCTTTTGGGGGAGTCATAGCCTGCTTCCAATTTTGGGCGAAAGAAATTGTGGCCTCTGTTATGATACGGAGCTTGACAGCCCTTTCTAAGCGGTTTACAGAGCCAACCTATTGCCCTCCCCCCAACTATTTGGGTCCTCGTTTTACTGACCTTGGAAGGATGAAGAGCCGAGTCAACCTTGATGCAGTCAGCATCGAACTCTTAGCAGTGAGCAAAGTCAGTCTGCAATACTGCATTGTAATCCCTGCACCACCATGGTGTCCCTATTGTTGGTTTGTCTTTTTCATGTATCCCCCAAACAGCATGGTCAATGATTTCCCCCGTGGTTAAACTAGCGAAACATCCTTGAATTGTACTAGTAGCAGGCAGTCTTTCCTATTTGTCTCTTCCTCCTGGATGACTGACATCCCCTCTCTGTGTTGAGACTCCAGTTACTATATTTGCGTTGGAAGAACCTACCAAGGGACTTCGGGGATTGAAAAATTAGCCGCCGACTTCAGTGGTTCTTTTCTTACCTGGGACTCTCCCAAAGGTGCGGCGTTTCCAAGAGGCGACTGGATTTTCTGGTTTTTTTTTTCTTTTTAAGACGTTTCGCTTCTCATCCAAGAAGCTTCTTCGGCTCTGACTGGATGAATGAATGCTTCCGTTCCCCTTCCATTCCTCATCCCAGAAGCTGCTTCATCTCCGACAGGATAGTGCGGGGGGAAATGGAAGGATTGATACACCTTGCAGGCAGCTGGTCGTTTGTGTCCTTTTCGAGGGTCGCTGAGGCCACCCGGAGGTTTCCTCTGTGTCCTCAGTGGTGCAAGTAGACGTGGAGGCTCCTTGGAACTGCGGAAAGGAGCTGCCCTGCCGACTGGAGATTGATGAGGTCGTATCCCTCCCCTCTGTTGAGAGAGACCATCCACGTCAACGTTGAACAGCCCTTTCCAAGTGAGACCTCCTCCAAGTGGCCTCAACGTCCCCCTAAAAAGGACGCAAATGACCAGCTGCCCGCAAGGAGTATCAATCCTTCCATTCTCCCCCCGCACTATCCTGTCGGAGACGAAGAAGCTTCTGGGATGAGAAGCGAAAGGTCTTCAAATGAAGAACCAGAAAGTCCAGTTGCCTCTTTCGAACCTCTCGGTCCAGATTGCGTCCTTTGCCCTTTAAATGCAGATGAATCTGGTCCCGATGGGTTGGTTCTCCTCTCTTGCGCCAGGCGTTTTGGGGAAGCGGCTGTTTCGTTTCCCCCGCGTTCAGATCTGCACGCGGCTCACTGCACAGTCCTGCCTCTTACCGCGTGGCTCAGCTTCTTTCTGGGGTGGGGGTGGGGTTGTCCTTGGTATTTCCTTGCAATTTAATGTTTTTTTTTTTAAAAAAAAGTTTTTTATTTTGTAACAAAGCCAAAGCCAAACAAATAAAACCATCATTCCATTCAACGGTGTGTCGGTTGGGTACATATCTCTTGTGCTCATAATCATAATATCGTACATTTCTTACTGGTTTATATTTGTAATCGTTCTAATCCATATTTTGTATCACACTTATCAACTGTTATGTTATCATTAACGTTATAAGCATTGTCTTTCAAGAATATATTTGATCTTTATTTAGATTATATTCATTTTCTTACTCAATCCCATTGAATCCATTATAATACATTATACCATTACCGCACGTTTCGATCTTGCAATTTAATCTAGCCTTCTTGGCAGCCTTGCACAACCTCGGCAAGGCTCGTTCTCATCCGAGACGATTCGTTTTAACAGCCTTTTTTAACTGTGAATGAACGGAATTCACGGAGAAATGTTTTTAAAACCTTTAAAAAGGTTTTGCTTCTATCTCCGTTTTGAGTTGGTTTGATAGGCTTGGGTCCGAACGAGTGCTGTTTGGAAGAGTGAGAAAACTCCATCAGAGGAAGAAATTATTAAGGAAATATTGGATTGTGCTGAAATGAGTAAATTGACATTTGAAATCAGAGAACAAGAAGATAAACAATTTTATGAAGTTTGGGATCATTTTTTATCAATGGTTAGATAATAAAACATAATAATAGAAGATTCAGATTTAGCATAAAAAAAATTTTTTTTCTTGATATTATCTTTATAAAACATTACCAAGATAGATTTGGTATGATCTTACGATTTATTGCAAAATAAACTAACTAAACTATAGTTATCTCGTTAAAATATGAATTAACAAAATTATAGATAAATGATTTTTTTAGCGATGACATTAGGTTATACAATTATGGATTGATAATATGAGCTATTGTGTAATATAATTATATCAGTGACTAGGAAATGGATGCACACACCAAAAAAAGTGGTAAACCAATCGATGCACTGTTTGTAAATTCATGAAGAAGGAGGATATTTTTATGTTTTAGGTGGTATGTCTATGTTGTCTTGTTGTTAAAATAAAAATATTTTTTTATATATATATATAAAAAAAAAGAACGAGTGCGGTTGCAGTGGAGAGAGAGACGCTTCCGGTCTCCGGTGACTCCTCTCTCTCCGTTTCTTCCCCACCCTCCCAGGACCTCTTCCTCCGCCTAGTGCCCCACGAGTGCCTCGGCTCTGCCTGGTCTCAGCGGGACAAGAAGGGCCACGAGGAAGACTGCCCCACCGTCCGGGCCACCGTGACTCAGTTTAACCTCGTGGCCAACGCCGTCATGTTTTCCTGCCTGTGGGACACGGGGCTACGTGCCGCCCAGCGGGCCCGGCTTTTGGAGAAGTGGATCTGCGTGGCTGAGGTGGGTCCCCGTTCAGCCCTTCCCGGAAACGGCCTCCTGGGATCGGGAAACCCCTCACAACCTCTTTCTCTCTCTTTCTCTTTCTCTCCCTCTCTCAGGAGTGTCTCCTCCACCGCAACTTCTCCTCGCTCTATGCCGTGGTCTCCGCCCTGCAGTCCACGTCTTTGCACCGGCTGAAGCGGACCTGGGAGGAGACTTCCAGGTGGGTGAGGAGGCGGCCGGGGAAGGAGCCTCCAGCTCATCCTCCTCCTCCTCCTCCTCTTCCTCCTCCTCCCTCCCTCCCCTGCCGAATGCCCGATCTGTGGGGCAGGAGGAAAACGGGCCCCCTGCCCCCTCGTCAGGCCATTGAAAGCCCCCCACCCCAACCCCGGCCAAGATGGAGATGAGAGGCAAAGAAGGAGACCCCTGGTAGAAAGGGGGTGCTGCTTGTTGGGTATCGGGACCCCCTCCCCCCCTTAAAAGCAGGGGTCTCCAACCTTGGCCACTTGAAACCTGGCGGACTTCCAACTCCCAGAATTCCAGGCTGGAGAAATTGTGGGAGTTGGCTTTGCTGGCTGGGGAATTCTGGGAGTTGAAGTCCGCCAGGCTTAAAGCGGCCACGGTTGGAGAGCCCCTGTTTTAAAGAGGGCTACAATACAGGTAGTCCTTGACTGAACAACCATTCGCTTAGGAACTACGAAGTTACGGCGGCCCTGAAAAAAAGTGACTTAAGAATGGCTTCCCACGCTTAGGACCTCGGTAGCATCTCCAGGGCCACGCGATCAAAATTCAGCGGCCCGGCAAAATGGACACGTGTTTGTGACAGTGGATACATCCCGTGTGTGTGTGTCTCTGTGTGTGTGTGTGTGTGTGTGTGTCTGTGAGAGAGAGAGAGAGAGAGAGAGAGAGAGAACATCACAGCCAGCGCTCTGAGGTCAGATCTCCCTCTCCCTGAGAAGGAGGCTGAAAAGCAGGTTAGGGTGGCTGCCTTGGAGGGTGTGTGTGTGTGTGTGTGTGTGTGTGAGTGAGAGAGAGAGAGAGAGAGAGAGAGAGAAAGAGAAAGAAAGAGAGAGAGAGAAAACATCACAGCCAGCCCTCCGAGGTCAGATCTC